GTCCTGGATGGTTGCTTTTTTCTTTTTCTTTAACAGCAAAACAAACTTCTGCATTTTGACTGCTTTCTTTTCATCAGTGATTTTGCAAACTTTCTTCGCTTTCAAAATTTGTGCCAGAACAGATGGTGAATGGTGGGCTTTTCTTTGAAGTAATGTCAGCTAAAATAACTTGTGCTGCTGGCAGTTCTTCCCTCTAACAGGGTTTTTGCTTAATTGGCACACTTACTCTCTCTTAGGAAGAACTGACTTATTTAATGGGTTTTTATTGTGCGGGCACAATTTTATTACTTCTCGAACTGGTTATAACAGGGCATCTTTGGAAACCTTTCTTTTAAATCCCTGCCGCTTCTCCCATTTTCTGGAGTGGGCTGAGCTCGGGAAGGCAGTAAGATGGTCGCAGTAGCTCCTGCCGCGTGGTTGTGCAGCAGTGTGTGCCACAAATGCCTCTTAAACATCCAGGCCTACCAGCATGCTCTACTTTAAGCCCTACTAACCTCCCAAAATGTAGGAGAGGTCACAGCTTGAAATAAAGCACCTGGGAGGTGTAGAGCTCTGGGAGATGTGTGTGTTGGTGTCTTTGTGCCATGAGGGCTGCTAGGAAATGCTGAGAGGGGAGCTTAAACTGATGTTCTCAAGCTGTTGTGCACTTGTAGAGCAGGCATGGTCAGGTGAGTTGCTGCTCTCTGCTGATGGAAAAGAAATGTTAGCTTGGAGATTAAGCTGGTGTGGCGGGAGCCCAGGAGGAGGGTGGGTTTGACCTTTCTCTTGTATTATAAGAATGAAATTGCATTTTGGACTGACTATTGCTGCGACCAGAAAGCATTCGACTGCTCACGATGTCCGTACGAGAACAGACGTTTTGGCACCCAGGGCAGAGTCCTTGAGAAGCTGCTTGTGAGCTGCCTGTCCATCAGAGGTGGCCCTTAGAGCGTGACCCTGTAGCAGAAGATAGCAGTGCAGTGCTGAGCTCTTCCAGGCTGAGGACATGCTTTGCATCGCTGGCGTGTGCGTGCAGATACCATCATGAAGAAGCAAATGTTAACTTGGGTGTTAGTCACTGATGCTGATTCTGCCCATTTTGTGCTTTTCTTTCTTGAGTTTTCTTGACTTTAACTGATAGAGAAGAAAAGAATAGATCAAAAACCCTGTGGCATGTCTTATCAACTGGAAGCTATTGAGATTTGTGCAAAAAAAAAATCAGAATGATTTATGCTACTGGAAGTACTGAGAGTCCTGACTTAATCTTAAGGGGTGATTCAGTGTTGTAATAAAGTTGAATGTAATAAGATATGCATATCATTGCTTTAAGCCCTTCTGGAAATTACTTTGCTTTTCCTAATTGCTAGAAAGCTCTGTGTTTTTTGTCTTCTGGTTTCTTCTGGCATTTGTAGCTGCTGGGGCTCCGAAGCTCCCTTGGTCTTTTGTTTTTGCTGGTAGTAATGGGGGACCCATCGTCGACCATCTGCAGTCACGCACAGCTGTGAACGATCTTGTCCTCGTGCTGTTTAGTGTTAAGTATTAAGACAATTTTCTTGTGTAATTTGGGGCTACACTTGAACAATCTGGATAGTTTAACTGGGGCTTTAGTTTGAGGCATTTTGCTTGCGTCAAACTCAAATGTGAATGTCTACAGTGTATTGAAACATGTATGGAATTTCTTACTAGAGATAAACCTGGAAATTTTTAGTCCTGCTAAGTTCTGTAATAGTGTTTTTTTTTTTCCCCTGTAATTTAATTAAACTAATGTCCAACTTGGCAGTGGAAGATGTCAGACATTTATAACAGTCTTTCAGTTTTAAAATTACACTGAATAACTGTGTGTGAGAATTGGTAATGAAAGGAAATATATTACATGACAATTAAATACGTTACGTAGACAATACATTAAGTAAATACATTACTTTTTTTTTTTTTTTTTTTTTTTTTTTTTTTTTTGTATCTTTCTGCTTCGAGCAGGCTTGGTTTCAGAGGAGCTGTAGAGCTGGCTCTGCTCCCCTGTCCTCCTTCCTCTTCATCATGTCATGGCCAGGGTTGCTTTTTGAGCACTAACTAATTGGAGTGCGTTCCTGTTCCCATTACTGTCCCCCAAACCTTCTGAGTACG